CTGTTTCCTCCTCATAGATTACCCTTCCACCCAGCTTTGTGCCATCTGCAAATTTTGAGATATTACATTTAGTTCCTTCAACTAAGTCATTAACATATATTGAGAATAGCTGGGGTCCAGTACTGATTCCTACAGTCCTCCACTGGTGATGCCCCTTCAAAAGTACAGCTTCACCATTCAGTAGATGTTCATTGTCAGCCCTTCTCTTCACTGGACAGTACTGTGGAAGCAATAGAAGTAACTGGCAGAAGTGGTCCCCATTGATGGGCTTCCACTTAACTTCACCTCAATGCTGCCCCCTGGCTACCTGTCATTTCTGTCCTGTTAACTTTGCAGCTTTGTACCTCAGCCTCGCCTTTTTGTCATAGCTTAATGAAAACTCATTTCTAGAGCAGCCTGTCCTGCTATGCAATTTTGAATGACCGGTTCCGACAGACTTGGGATTCGACATTCGAGTCTGTAAAAAAAGCAGACTTTGGCATTCGCTGTTAATGGAAATGACTTGACTAAATGTTTCTTATATAAATATTATGGAAGTATTTTTAGAAATTTGTTAAGTATTTTAGGGAGATGTAGTAATAGGGTTTAATAATTACATTGACGAACCTTTGAGATCCAACTATGCAGAAATGTCACTGTGACCTCTGTATGCATATGTTTGAACCAAAATAAGAAGTTGTACTCTGCACAGCTGGGACTATAATGCTCTGTAGCTGTACCATCATGTACAATGCAACAATAAACACAGTCACTGAAAGTTTGGTCTGAGCTTGTACTAATAACTGAAAAATCCACATAAGGACATGACAAAATATCAAGGCTCATGAACTCGCCATCTCGTTCTAACATGCTGTTTAATTTCCCTCTTAACAATTTTCACTTGAACCTGTTCTTCTGATGCAACCTGGGCTCAGATGGGCAGACAGACAAACTGAACACATGCATGAACCTTTGAACCCTCTGAGGAAGGGTCATCGGACTCGAAACATTAACTCTGTTTTTTCCTTCACAGATGCTGCCAGGCCTGTTGAGCTTTTCCAGCAACTTTGTTTTTGTTCCTGATTTACAGCATCTGCTGTTCTCTCGGTTTTTACATACATGAACCTTGCTGCTATAAGGTTTCTTCTTCATAACACTGAATGCCCCCTCAATTTACATCTCTGAAGGATACCCTTCTGCAACCCCTGCTCTTTCTGCCTGGATATTCGTGTTGAAAATCAAATAGGAAATAGAGATGGGCAGGGAACCTGAGACAGTGAAACATTTTCATGGGCAGCTCTGTTTCGAGAGGATTCAGCACCCTCTGCTGTTCAGACAGCATAATGTCAGGGGATTTTGCACAGGCAGTTTGCTGGTTTTCTGGAAAGGGAAGGCAAGACACTTGAAATACTTTTGTAACAAAATGCAATTGTAGCATCAATGGGATAATGCAAAGCAAATGTTACGGGTGACAGCATCGTGAATTAAGAAGGAAAATAGATTGTTCTCTCTCTGTGTTTTGATAATGGTAGGATAACAGCAAATCAAAAGGTACAGATATATTTATGGTTCTAAACAGACTTAACAGGTCAGAAATTGGTTGTTCAGCTCATCAGATTTGTGCTGCAGTGAATTTCATGTTCATTTCTTCTTTCCTACATTCTTTTAACTTTTACTTTACTTTTCCATTCTTTCTTTGACGTGATTTTAAATGACGCTATTGCTTCCGTATTAACAGCAATTTACAGTACAGCCTTGTTTCAATAACAGACTGAGGGTAGATGCCTTCTCTCTTTCCTTCCCCTTCATCAGGCGAGAATCCTTTGTCTGCATAAGGGTTCCTGATTTGAGGGGTCCTGACTACCCCTACCTTGAGACACTTTTGGGGTCATGATTGACCCTTCCTCTAAGGCAGCAATGGTGACAATAGAGACGAGATGGCCTAGATTGGAGACTGTGTGATCCTTGTTGCCAAACAGCAAGGGACAAATGGCACATCAGAGATCATGTGGAAGCTTTTAAAAAACGCTTTCATAAGATGTGAGCACAGTGTGTAGACTCCTAAGTGGTAGTTGGAAGGAGGGGCTGCTCGGTGACTGATCATGTGGAAACAAGACAGCTGATAAGGGGCTGCTATGGCCAGTGAGGGTGCATTTCCCAACAATGCCTTGGGCTGTGGCGCGAAAAATCTACTCCAGTGATTTTTCATTATAACAGTGACATATTAAAAATCTCACCCCTCCTGTCTACAGAAACTTCCTGTCACTGTATTTTTCTCAAGTGCCAGCACCCGCTTTTCCAGATTACAAAACTGTCTGTGCACTGTTACAATGGAAGTGCTTGTGTAAATCTACCACACTCTTGTCATAAATGCCAACAGCAGATGGTACAGTCACAGTTCTCCTAACTCCAAACACTGCGTATCAGAGAACTGCCCATATGCCCACCAACATTTCCCAAATTGTAATAGATTCTGCTTATCTCTATAAAAATCCATTGTCCCTTTTAGACTGACTTCATCATAAAAGTCAGGCGAGTGTTTCTTTTTGATTCATTTACAGGATGTGGGTGTCACTGTTACTGCCCATCCCCTTATTGCTCTGGAGAAGGGGGTGATAAGCTCCCTTCTTGAACTGCTGCAGTCCATGTGCTGTAGGTAGAATCACAATGTCATCAAGGAGGGAATTCCAGGATTTTGACCCAATAATGCTTAAGGAACCATGATATATTTCCAAGTCAGGATGGTGAGTGGTTTGGAGAGGAAGTTGCAGGTAGTGGTGTTCCCATGTGTCTAGCACACTTATCCTTCTAGATTCCACAGGTTCCAGGTTTGGAAGGGGATGCATAAATTAGATCAAAACCTGGATTATCCGAGCCAATCAGCAACTGAGGAACACTAAGCTCACTGCGTCTAATAAAATGTTGAAGATACAATCTTTTGTGCAACAGATCGACTATGTAGCATTAATCAAAATTGAATGTAGAATCAATTTGTTTGTTTACATTCTGATGGATGCATATCAAATCATTTTACCAATAGAAATGTACGAATTTCCCACATGTCCCTGTTTTCAATTTGAAGCTAACTTAGGAGGAAAATAACACTGGTCTCTGCTTCTGAGGTGACCACTCAATAGAGATGCCCTCTACAACAATTCAAAATCAATTCAGCATTACGTCTTGCCATAAGCAAGCATCAAGTGTGTTAAAATAGTTACTTTCTGGCAACATTACTACTTTTCTGGAGGGGAGAGGGACTCAAGAAAATTTGGCAGCATGGTAAAACTAGTGTTGGAAATGTAAGAACATTATCATGTTCACAATATGAGTCAAACAACTAATGAGAATAAGTCACTTTGAGCCCTCAAATTCAGAATTTCTGAAGTCTATGCACTCTAGAGATTTCTGGTCAATAAATCTGATTTACTTGCTCTACTTAATGCATGTGATCAGATCAGCATGAACGCGAATGGTAATCACTGTAATATGACTTGTTACAGGGAACATCTGATTGGGATCCCTGAAACCACATTTGGGTTCATTGCTGGTTGCCATGTCTAGTTAGTGTGTCAGATGTGGCATGTTTAGAATGTTAAGAAGGGATCAGTTCTATCACAACTGCCCATTTCCCACCTACATATTCCCAAGTTTTCAATTCAAAACAAAGTTAGCCATAAATCAACACTGGCTTCTGATTCTGAAGTGACCACTCTTCATTTAGACATGTAACCATGAATTCCTGTTTAAATCTCTACAAGTTACTCCATGGCTGAAAGAACCTGCACCTCATTTTGGCTCACCAACTGGAAACTGATGAATCACAAATAAGGCATTTTCTGGCTGATGAGGTGCAATTATTGATTTACCACAGGGATGCTCAACTGTTTGCAATGTATATATATATATATAAATGTCCTGGGTGAAGGGACCGATGGTGTCGTTCCTTAATTTGCTAATGACATAACAATAGGTAGGATAGTAAGTTGTAAACAAGACATAAGGAGGCTACAAAGGGATATAGAGAACTTAAGTATGTGGACAAAGATATGGCAAATGGAGTAAAATGTAGGAAAATGTGAAATTGCTCATTTCAGAAGGAAAAATAATAAAGCAGATTACTTTTTAAACAGAGAACGACAGCAGAATTCTGAGGTGCAGAGGGATCTAGGTGTTCTAGACCACAAGCCATAAAAAGTTAATTTGCAGGTGTAGTACGCAATTAAGATCTCTAAGAGAATGTTATCTATTATTAAGAGAGGAACTGGATACACAAGCAAGGATGTTATTTTTCAGTTACAAAGGGTATTGATCAGACCACATCTCAAATGCTGTGTGCAGTTTTGGACTCCTGAAAAGTTGGACAGACTGGGTTGGTTTCCACTGGAGTTTAGAATACATAAAATCCTGAATGGTTTTGATATGGTGGACGTTAGAAAAGATACTTCCCCTTGTGGGTGGGTTCAGAATTGGGGGACACTGTTCACTGAAACCAACACAGAGAATGCTGAAGAAACTCAGCAGGTCTGGCAACATCTGTGGACAGAAAGACCTTGAGGTTTGCTGAGGCTACAGCTGTGAGATTTCTCTCCCTCTCTCCATTGGCACTGTTTAAAAATTATGAGTTGCCATTTTGGCACAGAGTTGAGGGTTGGAACTCTGCCTCAGAAGGTAGTTGAGGTAAAGCCATTGAGTATTTCGGGCAGAGGTAGATAGGTTCTGGTCAGACAAGGGAGTCAAAGGTTATTGGGAGCAGATGGGAACATGGAATTTGAAACAGCAACAGAGCAGCCATAACCTTATTGATTGGCAGAGCAGGCTCAAAGGGCTGAATGGCCTACTCCTGCTTCCAATCACATGCAACTGCAGGGTTATTACAGGTTAGCCCCTGCTGACTGATCTCAGGGACTTTTACAGCCTTGGCTTTCACCCATGCACTCACCCACCATCCTCACCTCAAAAATAATAAAACAAGCCAATTTGAATGGGGCAGTGTCTGAAATCGACAATTAATTATTCCTTACTGTTGGATATGGGTGAGAGCAAAATATGGTGTACTTCCAAATGATGCCATTCATCTTCAGCGGGGCAAGCCAGGAGACGACCACAATTGTGGCAGAGGCTGCAGCTGCTTTCACTCCGCCCGGGGGACCTGGAACTAAAATAAAAAGTAACAATTATTGCATAGAACTGATAGGTACGGGCTATTCAGCCCCCACAGTTTCGTGTCAATGTGAGACTTCCTCCTCATCTCTTAACCAGGCTGGAAAATGAGGCTTCACTCCCTTTAGACTTTCATAGAAATTTTATAGATCCCCTACAGGGTGGAAACAGGCCATTCGGCCCAACCAGTCCACACTGACCCTCAAAGCATCCCACCCAGACCTGAACACTACGCGCAATTTCGCATGGCCAATCCACCCAGCCTGCACATCTTTGGACTGTGGGAGGAAACTGGAGCACCCGGAGGAAACCCACACAGACACGGGGAGAATGTGCAAACTCCACACAGACAGTCGCCCAAGGGCGGAATCGAACCCTGGTCCCTGGCGCTGTGAGGCTGCAGTGCTAAACTTTGGGCTTCTCTTCAATGGATCTATACTATTCAGCTCAACTATATCCAGTGGTAAACAGTACCAAATTCTCAGCTCTCCCTGCATAAAGGTGTTTATCCTGAATTCCCAATTGCATTTATTAGTTTTGAACTCCCATTCAAGTGATAGCATCTTCTCCACATCTACCCAACAACACTTTCATTAGAGATAGTAGGAACTGCAGATGCTGGAGAATCTGAGATAACAAGGTGTAGAGCTGGATGAACACAGCAGGCCAAGCAGCATCAGAGGAGCAGGAAGGCTGATGTTTCAGGCCAGAAGACATTTCCAGAAGGAGGGTCTAGGCCCAAAATGTCAGCCTTCCTGCTCCTCTGATGCTGCTTGGCCTGCTGTGTTCATCCAGCTCTACACCTTGTTATCTTCAGATTCTCCAGCATCTGCAGTTCCTACTATCCCAGAGCTGTGGAATTAATTGGGGAATGCTACCAAAGATTCTGTACAGGCTTGACAGGCCAAACTGGCCCCCTTCTGTGTTCTATCATTCAATTATTTGGTCTCTTAATGAGAGAGCTTCAGATTTCTAGCACTTCTCAAACAACGTACTTCCTGATATCAACCTTCAATGGCTTGCCTCTAATTTTAACGCTACATGCCTTGCCAGAGGATACAGCGTATTTCTATTTAACCTATCAATTCTTTTCAATCTTTCAAACTTGTTTTTAAGATTATCCATTAAATGTTCTATGCACAAACAGCCTGAAGCTACTATACAATCTATCCTTATAAATTAAGTCTTTTAGCCAAGGTATAATCTGGTGAAAGCTACATGAACAGGAATGGGAAACTACAGTGAGGATGCAATGATATCATGATAAAGTGAGCCATTCATGTGGTGGGGGTGGGAAATAAATACTGTTGTCTACAGCAAAGGCCATGAATCCCAAATGCTGTGTTGCCTGCCCAGTACCAGGATCAAGGACATCTCCTTGGGCTGGAGAGGAACTTAAAGTGGGAGGGAAGAGATTCTGTCCTTGTCATTCATGTTGGTACCATTGACATTGATAGGACTTGAATGGAGATTCTCATGAAAGAAACAGTTAGGAAATAAAAAGCAGAAACTCCAAAGAAATAATCTCATATTACTCCTTGAGCCACGGATTTACTGGCATAGGGAAAATAAAGTCAAGGAGTCAAATGCGTGCCTCAAAGATTGGTGCGAGAGAAATGTGTTTCAATTCATGGACCTTGACAACTAGTACTGGGGTAGAAGGGAGCTGTTCTTGTGGGACAGGGTTTGCTTGAACCCTGATGGACCAATGGTCCGGTGAATCCAATAACTATGAAGGGGAAATCGTGCTTGTCAAATCTGTTGGAATTCGATGAAGATATAACTAGTAGAGACAGCCAGTCGATGTGGTATATTTGGACTTTCAGAAAGCATTTGACAAAATCCTACATAAGAGATTAATGTGCAAGATTAAAGCACATGGGATTGGGGGAAGTGTATTGAGATGGATAGGAAACTGGTTGGCAGAGAGGAAACAAAGAATAGGAATTAATGGGTCCTTTTTAAGTTGGCCGGCAGTAACTAGTGGGGTGCCACAGGGATCAGTGCTGGGACCCCAGCTATTCACAATATATATTAATGATTTGGATGAGGGAACAAAATGTAACGTCTCCAAGTTTGCAGATGATACCAAGTTGGGTGAGAGGGTGAACTGTGACGATGATGCAGAAATCCTTCAGCATGATTTCAACAGGTTGGGTGAGTAGGCAAACCAATGGCAGATGCAGTATAATTTGGATAAATGTGAGGTTATTCACTTTGGAAGCAAAAACAAGAAGGCAGATTACTAACTGAATGGCTGTAAATTGGGAGAGGGGAGTGTGCAGTGGGCCCTGGGTGTCCTTGTGCACCAGTCACTGAAGGTAAGCATGCAGGTGCAGCAGGTGGTAATGAAGGCAAATGGTATGTTGGCCTTCATTGTGAGAGGTTTCGAGTACAGGAGCAGGGATTTTTTTTGCAGTTATACAGGGCCTTGGTAAGGCCACACCTAGAATACTGTTTTTGGTCTTTTCTGAAGAAGGACGCTCTTGCCCTTGAGGGAGTGCAGCGAAGGTTTACCAGGCTGATTCCGGGGATGGCGGGACTGACGCATGAGGAGAGATTGACTAGGTTGGGATTGTTTCGGCTGGAGTTCAGATTAATGAAGGGGGATCTCATAGAGACTTATAAAATTCTAACAGGACTAGACAGGGTAGATGCAAGGAGGATGTTCCCGATGGTGGGTGTGTCCAGAACCAGGGGTCACAGTCTGAGGATTCGGGGTAGACCATTTAGGGTGGAGATGAGGAGATATTTCTTCACCCAAAGAGTGGTGAGCCTGTGGAATTCATTACCACAGGAAGTAGTTGATGCCAAAATATTGAATGTATTCAAGGGGCGACTAGATATAGCGCTTGGGGCGAATGGGATCAAAGGTTATAGGGAGAAAGCAGGATTTGGCTGTTGAGTTGGACGATCAGCCATGATCGTGATGAATGGCAGAGCAGGTTCGAAGGGCCGAATGGCCTCCTCCTGCTCTTATCTTCTATGTTTACGGTTCAAGGGAGCATTTAACCAAAATAGAAAGGAGATACGTAGGCTTATAAAGCAAAATGATATGGTGACATTGCGAGGCAGCTATTTAGGTAATGATAAACAGAATGGGGCAGGAAGGGAAAGAGTGTGACAATTAAATGACAGGAGTGACAGTAAGCTAGCAGACGTTTAAGGAGGTAATTCATGTCTCTCAAGAAACATACATCCCAGTAAGGAGGGATAAACTAACCATGGCTAACCCAGAAAGTTATGAAGCTTACGAAATTGAAAGAAAAAGAATATAAAGAGGCAAAAGTCAATGATAGCTCCAGAGATGGGAATAAATTCAGAATCCAACAAATGAGGACTAAAAAGATAAAACAGAGAAAATAAACTACAAGGGCAAACTAGCCAGGAGTGTAAAAACTGACAGTAAGATCTTTAAATTTCGAGGTCAAAGTGAACAGAGGCCCCTTAGAAAATGAATCTGGGAAGACAGTTATGGGGAATAAGGAAATGGCAGAGCAGTTAAACAGATATTTTCCATCTTTCCGGAAGAAACTTTGAACATTCCAATAATGCTAAAGAATATGGCTGGGAGGAATTAAGTACCATCACCATCATTAGAGAAGTCATATTAGACAAACTAATGGGTTTAAAGGCAGTTAGGTCCCCTAGCCCTGTTCGCTTGCATCTTAGGGCTCTAAAAGAGGTAGCTACAGAGATAGTGGATGCATTAGTTATAATTTTCCAAAAATGATTGGATTCTGAAGAAGTACCAAGGATTGGAAAACTGCCAACATGACAGCCCTAGTCAAAAAGGGAAGAAGGCAAAAAAAAGGCAAATGTAGGACAATTAACCAAACATCTATTGTTGGAAAAGTATTGGAATCAATTATCAAGGAAGCAATAGCACAACATTTGGAAAATCATAATTGAATCAAACAGAGTCAGCATGGCTTCATGAAAAAAACAGTAAAGTTATAAGACCCTATGGTGTTGGAGGTAGTATATTAGCATGGATAGAGAAAGTTAACTAATAGAAGACAGAGAGTTGGGATTAGGGGGGCATTTTCATTAGTTGAAGATCATTTCTATTCTGTTAGCATAAATGCCACCATCTTCTCTCGATAACTTGTAGTCTTTTTATCTTTGCTACTCACCAAGACTTGTGCTCTATCACTCTCACTAATGCCTGCAGCATCTTCTCTCGCTCACTGTCACCCCAATCCCAACTCCTGACACCACTCACCCTGCATGCACTCTGTGCTGCCTCCCACTCACTCAAACACCTTCCCACCTACACCAAAATTAACAGCTGCTCCACCCACATTCATGCACCTTAATAGCTGTCTTTCTCTCTTACTCAGGAGGAAATAGGCAGTAAGAGTCAAGACTGATGATGGGCTGCCAAATGTTCAATTCTTCACCCCTTATGTGGAGACTATCCTGACTGATGGTACTGGGCAGTCTGTCCTCATACCTGTGGACTGGTATTGGAGGCTGCCTTGTCTCACTGTGTTTGGAGCCCCTGATGGAAGGCTGTCTCCCTTGACTTGACTGAGGACTACTGACAACCATGACAAGTTTCCTGGCTCTGCTAAAAGGCAATGCAATACAGCAGTACTATGAGCCTGCTATCGCTGACTGAGGGGATGCGCAAACCAGGCATGCTGTGAGCATCCAGGTAGGGTCAGAGTGAGAAAGTGTTATGACAGCAAGTGAAGAGATGCAGCCTGGTCCAGTTCATGAAATGGATGCAAGTCCATTGATCTCACAGTGCACTTGCTGTAGTATTACAATGATAGTTGCTGCTGTTCCCAGAGGTCCGGCATTGATGTACAGAAGGATACTGTAAGTGGATTGGAGATGTGCCATGAGGGTTCTTAGAGGCTGGAAACTGTCAGATGCCAATATCTGTGCAAATGAGGTGCACGTGCTCATGGTGCCCCTCCCCTGAGATCTTGCATCATGGTGTCCAACTCACAGGTCGTCTGGACCAAGCGACGAGCTGAAGTCACCAGCTACCTGGTCTGATTTTCATGTCAATAATGTTTGGCATCGAGTTTGCTGGGTCATGTTATGGGATAGGAAGCTCTATATTCATGAGTCACATCAGCCATGATATTGTTAAGTGACAGGGCTGACTTGAGGGGCTGAATGGCCTCTTCCTGTTCCCATTTTTTTTGTATTCGTATGTTCTACGTATGCCACTTTGCAACTGAAAAAGTTAACATTTTTTTATTCATTTGTGGGACATGGGTGTCGCTGTCTAGGCCAGCATTTCTTGCCTGTCCCTAGTTGCCCTTGAGAAGGTGGTGGCGAACTGCGTTTTTGAACTGACATCACGAGATAAGCTCCACCAGTCAGGTTGTAAAAGACAGTTCCTGGGAGGAGCTAACCATGAAGCATTGCCATGGCTGTAGTTGTTCAGTTGTCTCTGTGTTGTCTACCAGAACATTTCAATAACAGTAATATGTCCGTACACTTACATTGAGCTTGAAATCCTGCAAGAGGCAATCATGTATCCGAGATGTAATGTAACTAGGTAATAAATGTTACAAATTAAACTTATTTACTGTTTATCATGGTTGAGACTTTTTTAAATTCATTTATAAAATCTGGAGGCATCACTAGCTAGGATTTATTGTCTATCCCTAATTGCCCAGGGGGCAGTAAGGAGTCAACCACATTGTTGGGGTTTGGAGTCACATGTAGCTTAGGCCATGTAAGCATGGCAGTTTCCTTCCCTAAAGAGCAAAATGGGCTTCTCCCAACAACATTTTCACAGTCATTTCATGATTCTTAATTCCATTTATTTTGAATGCAAAGTCTGCCATCTGCCACGGCAGGATTTGAACCTTAGTGTCCAGAACGTTATTTGGGTCCCCTGATTAATCCTCTAGTGACAATACCACTAGGCTATCACCTCTCCTACCAACTGCTACAGGTTTTGTGTGGGCATCCTTTCCCACATGAAATCCATAACTCACACTAAAACAAGAAGGATTGATGGCAGTAGATCTACCCAAAGCTTCTTTGTCACACCATTATAACATGCTGGTAGCTCGGACACCCAGCACTATAATAAAGCAGAGTAGATGAAGCTCAAACACGACAATTGATTAATGCTGATATAGAACAGCTGAAATGGACAGAGTTCCCTTTCCCACTACTAACCTCCGCAATTTTGGAAGAAAATACATTTCAACAATGGAAGCACTCAGACTATGTGCTGTACACTAGTGAATACCACCAGCTAATGGTAGTAGCTCACAACTCTGATATCAGAGGACATTTAAATGATCTTAATATGTGAACTTTTAGTTTTGCTGTTGATGTTATTGCACAATCCTGATTTAATTAAGGTCTTATCATTTGTTGGAGTTGGGGGAAGCTGCAGGATGCTGTGACAGAACATGGGACTTTATGAAAATAGCGTTGCACAAAAATTTCAGCATGATTACCTGGAGGTGGTGCAGCGGAGGATTATTAGAATGATACCTTGAATGAGTGGGCTGTATTATGAGGATAGGTTGGGCTTGTTTCCACTCAGAACAGTTAGGGGAAACTTGATTGAAGTATGGAAGATTGTGGATGTTGCTGACAAAGTTGACATGAGAAAGATGTTTCCCCTTGTGGGAACAGAAGGGGCTCAAGGGGATGAATGGCCGACTTCTGCTCCCTATTTAGTACGTTTGAATGATTGGAGAATCATTAACGTTAACCTACCATCCTCCTTGGTACGTGTGAAGATCTGCTCGCTCCTGACTCCATCTCCTGCCCGGGTGAATGCCAGCACCTGTATACTGTAGTTGGTGAACTTCTCGAGTCCATCTAGCTCCAGCGTAACCTGGGTGGTTGTGACGTTTCTAATCTCTCCGAGCTCTGACAGAAAGCAAAGGAGAAGAGCAAATGCTGAATTGGCCATTCATATATGTGAACACACCCAGAAGGTGGAGAGAAGGTCAATGACCAAGGAGTGGGAAAATCAGTCCAGGTTCCCATTCCTGCTGCAGTGCCACGTGCTAGTAAGTGAACATCACATGCCTTGCCTCAACTGTGAGCTACCATCAGTCAAATTCAGTGATGATCTGCATTCTCACAGGAAGAATTATTGTCTGATTCAGATACTGCAGCACTGTTTCTGCCTTTTTAAGTAACGATTTAGACAGCTGAGTTATCAATCAGAAATTAAATTTGTCCAGTTTCTAAAGTGGCAGAAACTTATGACCATAAAACCGAAGGGAATCAAATCATAGGGGGTTCCTTGTGTCTATGAAGCCTCCCTCTCCTAGAGGAGCCCACCATCATGGAAGGACTTGTGTATTGAGCAGAAATACCCTGCCCTCTCTGAAGGGCCACCTAAGGGTTTGAATAGATGCAACCATATTCTAACTTCAATTACAGTCTCCAAAACAGGAGAAACTGGGGCAGGGGAAGTTTGATATAAACCTAGGGCTTAAGTTTATACCCAAAGAAGCAGATGGAATGTGGTCATTTCTACAACAACTGGAAGCATCTTCTCTGGAGAGAGTCGGAGGCAATCTCAAGACTGCTTCTTTGTTAAAAAGCCAAAAGTCTGTCAGGGGTACCATAGCTCTGTTCATTCACTGATAGAATCTGGATGTATCAAAATACAGTTTATGAAGGGCTCTGGCTTTGAATTCAAATCCATTGTTTACCAAGGTGACAAAGGGGATTCTAGATTGAAAGATGAACATTATTTACTGTTCAAAGCTAAGAATAAGATAAGAACATATTCTCACTCTGAAATTTCAATGACATTATAGTTCCTTGAAAGTGGTGTCACAGGTAGACAGGATAGTGAAGAAGGAATTTAGCATGTTTGCCTTCATTGGTCAGAACATTGGGTAAAGGAGTTGGGACATCATGTTAAGCCTGCATAAGACATTGGTAAGGCCACATTTGGAGTACTGTGTACAATTCTGGTTGCCTTTCTATAGGAAGGATGTTATTAAATTGGAAATGGTGAAAAAAAAAATTATAAGGATTTTACTGAGATTCGAGGGTTTGAGTTATAAGGAGAGGTTGGGACTTTTTATTTCCCTGGAGGAAAGGAAGCCGAGAGGTGACCTTTGAGAGGTTTATAAAATCATGAGAGGCATAGATATGGTGAATAGCCAAGATCTTTTCCCCAGGATAGGGGAGTCCAAAATTAGAGGGCGTAGGTTTAAGGTGAGAAGGAGAAGATTTAAAAGGGACCTGAGGGGGTGACTTGTTCACACAGAGTGTGGTGTGTGTATGAAAAGAGCTGCCAGAGGAAGTGGTAGAGGCAGTTGCAGTATTTTAAAGACATTCGGACATGTAAATGGATAGGAAAGATTGAGAGGTATATGGTCAAAAGCAGGCAAATGGGACTAGTTCAGTTTGGGAACTGAAGGGCCTGTTTCTGTGTTTGCTATTGGTGAAGATATTTTAGCTTGGCTCTCCTTTCCTGACCAGTTCACTCTGTCGGACATAGATAGAGGCGAGGGAGCTGATGTCGTGTTGCTGAATCTCAGGGGCTGCTATCATTATCCACAGCTTACTGCAGCATACCTACCTCCATCTGGGAGGTTTGCCCAGTAAATAACTCTATATCCTTGTAGAATCCCATTCAGTGCCTCCTTTGGTGGCATCGACCAAGACAGTGAAATGACCTCCGGAGATACTGCACTGGCTTGGACGTTGTCTGGTGGTCGGCTGGGCACTGCCATAAGAAAAAAAACCAAATAAAAGGCACAGATGTGAAATTCTGCAAAGTTTCATTTAAGTTCAGACACTCTTAATGCAGGAAACATGATTGAAAACTGCTATGGTACCCAAATGAGACCAAAATGTGGTGTTGTATTTCTAAACATGGTTACCTTATCGTCCTTGACTGTACTTTAGGGACAGAAAACAGCTGCCCTTACTTTGCTGTTACTTCAGACTCACACCAATCTGATTGGCTGTTAACTGTCCTCTGTCCTCAGAGCTATCAACATGTGACAAAGAGAAAGGCTATTCAGGAAGCACCTTCACCCTCAAGACCATCGGCTCTTCCAGAAGAAGGCTTATCAACAGTTTCTCAAGGCTAACTAGAGATACACAATAAATATTGGTCTTGCTCCAATCCCAAGAGCGAATCAAAATAACCTTGTTGAAGAACTCATTCATTGCGCATTTAAGGTTAAAAGTAGGAACACACAGATTCAGAAACAATCATCTTATCATTGTACAATCTTACGCCTGAAAGTTTCAGAACAATGTCTCAAGGTTCTTCCTTGTCATGGGCCCGTGGTTGGACATCAGTCTGCCCACTCAGGAGGCTGGCAAGATGTATACAATATGCAAAAGGTCACGTTGGGACCGAGACAGGTGGGCAGATCCTGCTAGGCCCAGGAACAGATACTTTGTTAGAGTAAAACATCCCCTGTATCTGCCTGTTAGATTCAGTGGGGGGGGTTAAACTCTTGTACAACACGGTTAAGACTCTTAAATAAAGTTTTGATGGAGTGATTCCAAGCAAATATATCAAACATTAGTATTATCCTACGTTTTTAAAATGGTTAAGAATAAACAATTATGAATCTTTCACCTAATTTTTATTTTTTGCCGTCCCTTTTAAGACACTGTTTGTTTCCAACAGTTACCTAGCCTGCTGTCTGACCAGCAGGGGGCATTATAGGAAGGCTGAAGTGTCTTCTCTCAATGCCCATGTGTGCTACATTCCAGCTGCTGAAAGAGAGAATTCTGGCCAGTTAAGGAGTATTGCGAGCCAGTTAATTACATTCACGCCTTCATTTCTGTTACTGAAATATAAAAGTAATTCCACTTTCACATGTTCTTCCTCTTTCACCTTGTACGATATCTAATACACCCCTCATTTGGTTCTGTTAAGATTCCAGTGTTCTTCCTCATTGTGACAAGAACATAGAACATAGAACAGTACAGCACAGTACAGGCCCTTCGGCCCACAATGTTGTGCCGACAAAGTCACAACCTTCGCTTTTATTCTTTTCCAGGTTCTCAAAGCTAGGGGCACAGTATCCATCTCAGCCTATCTCAACTTTTAAGCGACTCTTGCATAGGCACACGGAGGATAGTAAAATGTAGGGTACGCAGGATAGCTTGATCTTAGTAGGATAATAGGTCGGCACAACATCGTTGGCCGAAGGTCCTGTACTGTGCTGGACTGTTCTATGTTCTATGTTCTATTGTTGTTCCTAAAATACCATCAGGCTTTAAAAGCCCTGGCTACATATTACTTAACTATCTCCTCCCCATGTGATAGCACTTCGGGTTTAATGCTGATGACACAGCACTTTGAGCAATCAATTTTCAGCATGAGGATTAACATCTGTAAAGAACTATTCTCTCGCCCATTAGACCAATGCTATTCATCAACTGTTCCACACAAGGCAGGGTGAAAATTTCCATCTATGGCACTTTAATCACCATAACATAGGAAAGATGTTGTGAAACTTGAAAAGGTTCAGAAAAGATTTACAAGGACGTTGCCAGGGTTGGAGAGTTTGAGCAATAGGGAGAGGCTGAATAGGCTGGGGCTATTTTCCCTGGAGCATCGGAGGCTAAGGGGTGACCTTATTAAGGTTTATAAAATCATGAGGGGCATGGATAGGATGAAGAGCCAAGGTCTTTTCCCCAGGGTAGGCAAGTTCAAAACTCGAGGGTTTAAGGTGAGAGGGGAAAGATTTTCATGTGGAGGGTGGTACATGTATGGAATGAGCTGCCAAAGGAAGTGGTGGAGGCTAGTACAATTTCAACATTTAAGAGGCATCTGAATGGGTATATGAATAGGAAGGATTTAGAGGGATATGGGCCAAATGCTGGCAAATGGGACTAGATTAATTTAGGATATCTGGTCAGCATGAAGGAGTTAGATCGAAGGATCTGTTTCCATGCTGTACTGCTCTATGACTCTATGATTCTAATTAACATGAGAACTGGAAGATGGAGGAAGAGAATGAAAGCAGAGAGAGGAACGAATGAAATGAAGACAAGGAGATGGCAAAGTGAAGGGAGAGAGGGAGGGTCTGAAAAATGGAAAGTGATGGGGAAAAGGAGAAAGGAAAGGGGTGAAATGAAAAGAGAAGAAAAAGGGAAATGAAAAATAAGGGAAATGAAAACAAAAAGTCAGCAAAATGATACAGAAATAGGTACAACTAGAACAAGGAAGGAGATAAATAAAGATATCGTTAGCGTGAAGTTGGATTAACGTTGAGTTAAATTGAGAAATGAAAAGTTTTCCAGCATGAAGTGAGAGGGTGAAGAGAAAAATGGAGCAAGGAATTGTTTAATGCTAACCAGAAGATCCTCACATTTCCTGGAAATGTACAATTTGGTTTATTATGAAAATTATTCAAGTTTTTTTTATCGTAATGTTTGTGCTCACCAATTTTTCAAAATGACTTTCGGATTTACCAGGATCTCGGAGCTGAGCTCTGGTTTTTGCTCTCGAGGGAGGCAGGACAGCACCTGGCAGGTTGTCTCTATCCAAACCCCATGAGAAGAATTATTAGAAAACTCAAACTCCACTGAATCTTCACTGGGTCTTGCCGATGCCACTATGAAGATCGGCTTTTCAATTTACCAAGAAAGGCTTTGTGATGCCTTGTGCAAGGAAGACCTTGACAAAGGATTTTGACTCCACGTCCACTCATCAGGTACTAAATCTCTCATCCATCCCCTTACTACTTCCACCATGGCCAAATCCTCATCTTCCAGCTTCTGTAAACTTCAGAGTCATCCAAAACTCTGCTGCCCATGCTCCTTTTTAAGACTATCTCATCTTCCAGTTCTAGGTTCCTGCTCAGCCCTGTCTTGACTTCCAAACTTTCATCCTAACTTTCAAATCTCTCCTTAGTCTCATCCCAGTCTATCTTGTCATTGTTTAAAGACGGAGATGAGGACGATTTTCCTTTTTTTCTCAAGCGGGTCATGGAAACTCCCTCTCTCAGAGACCAGTGGAGCATGGGTGGGCAAGAGTCACTGAATAATTTTAAGGCCGAGGGAGATAGATTTTTAACTCACCGGGGAGTCGACGGTTAGCGAGGGGTAGGCAAAAATGCGAGCTGAGCCCATAATTCGATCAGATACAATCATGGCAATTGGTGGAGCAGGCTCAAGGGTCTGAATGGCCTACTCTGCTCCTAATTCATGTATCCGTTTCCTCCAGCTCTTAAAATTGTCCCAAAAATTCAGCGATCCTCCAATTCTGGCCTCTGGAGCAACATTCCCTGTAATTATTTTTTCCCTGCTGTGCTGACCTCCAAGGTCTGTGTGTGGCTGCAGCTTCCAGAAGCGGACGCCTTTCTCCGGCATGCCGATTGGCAACCATGGAGCTTCCCATTGACCCTGTGGCTGCACAGCTGAGAGGGAACATTGCTCTTGAGGTAACATTGATTTCCAGCAATATGCCATTGGTGAACACAGCATTAGCTTCCTGGGAGCCTGAGCTCTGCAATTCCTTCCCTAAACCTCTCTCCCTCCCTAACATTCTCTCCCCTCCATGATAACTCTACCTCCATAACTGACTGCTTGTCCTAATAACCTCCTTCAGGGGCTCAGTACCATCACATCTGTGCAGTCTCTTGGGGCCTTCTGTCTATTTCTAAGATGCAATACAATTTTTGGCCTACCATCCTCCAACGTTGTTGCAATGATTTCCTGTGAGGAGGGTCCAGTGCCCGCACGGTTACAAGCCTGCACCACCACTCCATACTGCGTGAACTTTTTCAGATTGTCCAGTGTGTACAGCTCGCTGTCGCCGGTTGTTTCCATGCTGATGATATTAAACTGGTAGTTGCCACCAGTGCTGTACTCCCGATAACCAATTTGATAGCCGCGGATTAATCCATTTTGCAAGTGCTTCTTTGGAGCCTGAGTAAATGACAGGGATGAAGAAAACACCACATCAGTTTTGATTTACAAAAGTGATAACTTAGCAGACAAATGTTTCCTCTTCTGAGTCCTCTGAGGGATATTGGGTTGAGGGATAAATATTTAGATTTTGTTGTGGGGGAGAGAAATCCTCTCCTTTATTTGCCAACAATGCCACGTTGGGGTTATCTTACATCCATCCGAGAGGGCAGTCAGGGCCAGGGTTTAAAGGCGTAGCTGAAAGACAGCACCTTCGACAGTGCAGCACTCCCTCAGAATTCCGAGTGGATGGAGGTCACTGGTCAAAATTGGTGCCACTGCATTCACGCAGTGAGTAGGGAAATTCATACAGGTACAGTTACAACTGTGCTCCAAGAATGGCTTAACACTCATCGATGAGGCAGAGCAGAGGGAAGTTAATTGTACAGCTGTCAAGGCTATACATTGCCTGTAATTAATTGATATAGACTGAAGAATTGGTCAATTTTCCATTACTCACACTCTGAATCCTGCTATTGGAAGGACATCTTGGAAAATTAAAACTGAAGGAGAGAAAGAAGCCAATTCCAAAATGTCTTGTCATTTGCATCCTAAAATTAATTTTCAAAACTATATCCAACAGTTCAGCCTTTCCATCAACCTGTTCTGCAAAAAACGTATCAGAACGTAAACCAAAATTCCACTTTTGTAATAATAAAGTAATATTAGACCTTACAGCAACTTAACTGGTTTGGAAAGCTTCTGAATCTGACATAAAAATAACTCAGTAAAAATAATACATGTGTGGGAAGTGTGTGACAGCTCTGTCAGATTCAATTTATGGTGACTATTTAATAAAATAATAGATGACCATGATTACCTTTAGATAGACATGCATGAGTACAATGGACAATACTATGATTGCCTTCATAGAAGTATATGCAATTATATACAGAGGACATTTTACCTTCTCCACTTAGTAGCAAATTGGTAGAGTGGATGAGCAAGTCAGTCAGATTATCACAAAAGCATAAAGTTAAAGGAAACTATCTCCATATTTACACAAATGCAGCAGCATAGTCCTCACAGGCAACACTCTCTTTCTACGTGCGCAGACACACATACACACACATGCATGCACATACGCACACATACATGCACATATACATACACATACACACATATGCATGCATATTTCTAACATACTTATTTCTTAGCTACGCACTAATTCATACATTTTTCATGCATACAGTCACATTTAGGGCGGCACGGTGGCTCAGTGGTTAGCGTTGTTACCTCACAGCAACAGGGACCCGGGTTTGATTCCACCCTTGCGCGACTGTGGTGTGGAGTTTGCACATTCTATCTGAATCTGTATGGGTTCCCCCGGGTGCTCTGGTTTCCTCCCACAGTCCAGGTTAGTTGGATTGGTCATGCTAAATTGCCCATGGTGCCACAGGCTAGGTAGATTAGCCATGGCAAAAGTGCAGTTACAGAGATGGGGTGGGTCTGAGTGGGATGCTCTTCGGAGGGTTGATATAGATTTGATTGGCCAAATGGCCTGCTCCCACGCTGTACAGACTCTGTTTACATACACACTCATAGATTCGACTAACACAGATTCACCACCACCTTAAATTTACTTTGCCAAACATGAACAATCAGTTGCAGTCACACCACAGATACAGATAGAAGACAGGCTGGGGATAGGAGTTCAGTTTAAATAGGTATTTAAAACATCCAGATATACATTACATCATGTAACAAAAGGAATGATGTATAGACAGAGGGAGAACTATCAAAAAGTTCTGAAAATATAAAGGGTTCAGAAAAGGCTTAGATCTGGAGAAATAAATTGAAAAAAAAATGGCTGCTTCCTTCATCTGGAATATACTGTGACATAATCGAGGTACCAGGAAATCTACTGGCATAAAATAATTGTACAATCACTGTACAATCTCAATGCTGTAATCACACAACAGGACAAAACAGATCGTATTACTTTGAGTAACAACTAATATGGAATAAGATGGTTACAATCATTGTTAGGTTTTATTCTCAATTATCAATGTCAGTAATTTTCCACAAATGCCCCCAGTGTTTCTATCAATTGCTCTTAAGTGAGGAGACAGCACAATTTATAGATATTTCCTAATCTATACGGACTAAAGGGCCAGACGGCCTACTCCTGCTCCTAGTTCTTATGTTCTTATGTTCTAAAGATTCTTGCAATCAGCTCCAGAAACACACAGGCAAATTCCTGCTGAGGAGTAAGATCACATAATAATTCACAATGATGTCTCCTACATCATGACCAAAGCATTGTGTGTGACCACACAACACTGCTACATGGGTGAATAAGCATAATGGAACTGGTTCCACTTGCTAAGGAGAAAGTGCAGCATTCCCTGCAAAAGTTAAACCATTATTCTATTTGTAGTATATCGGTCAGTTCATTGTATCTGCAGCATTTCAATGGAACAGCTAATAATGGGAAAATAGCATTTTGCTGACCACATTCACACACCTTGTTCCAAATTATAAATGCTTTATTATTAATCAATAGCCTTTAAGGCAGTTCCTTTAGAGGTTAGTTCAAATAATACAGAACCAAAATGTTTGATCCCAAGTGCAAGGCATGAGCAGCAAGGCTTTCCATTCGAATTATAGAGTTAGTGTAATAGTTACTTGCAAATAATTTACCTTCCAAGTCACTCTGATACACTGAGAGGATAGGGATTCCAGCACAACGTCGACAGGTGGACCGTCAGGGGCTAAAGAGAGAGTTGAAGAGTATAAATGTGAGAAGTATCCACCACATTGATTTGGAGGAACACAGAAGTGAGATCAATATTAAAAAATGACCAAATGGGGAAGCAAAAACACCTGGGTGAATTGATCTTCAGTTTGCTCTTCACTCTGCACTGTGTACACCCTGCAGAGTTGACCAGTTAGCTCAGTTGGCTGGTGTGTGATGCCAACAGTGTGGGTTCAATTCTCACACTGGCTGAGGTTACCTTGAAGGTCCCACCTTCTTGACATCACCTTTTGTACGAGGCGTGCTGACCCTCAGGTTAAACCACCATCAGTCATCTCTCTCTAATGAGAGAGCAGCCCGACGGTTACCGTTCTAGTACAATGGCAAATTTATCCAGGCTTTCTCAATGTGGCAAAAATAATGTGGTACCCAGACTATGCCACCTGCATACCTTGCACTAGAGCAGTGAAGAAGGGGAAAACCCATCACAATCCAAGGACATCACTTAAATGAGCAACAGTTGAATCTCAGACTATCAATCTAACAAATTGATCAACTCAGTCTCGGGTGCCTAGACAGGGTGAATTTATGGGAATGGGGCAGGTTTGCTGAACCAATTGGTCTCTTCTTCCCAATCATTTTCATACATTGGTATGTAGACTGTGGACCACTCACACTCCAGTTGGAGATACTGCAGAGGACCATTGGTTGTTTGCATCTGATACTAAAGGTACACATGCCATTTACACAGCTGAATGATCATTAGACTGTAAATGCACAGTGTTGCTTGTATATGTTTTTTAATAATATTATTGGATTCTGTAATGGTAAAAATACATTGGGATTTTCAGATCTGAACAATTTTCAAACATAACCACATAATTCTTTAAAATAATTAAAAACAAGTCAACAGTGAACCATCAGCACCAGTTGCTAGGGTGATTGGAGACAATAGGATAAATTCATCAACCATACACTTCCAGTGATATAATATATACAGCCAAGGAGAGCACAGGTTAAATTTAAAGTGCCTACAATAAAGCATTGATTCTTTAACTTATTGTTCTTTCAAACACATTTCCCTCCTCAAAGAGCAATATTGACAAATTGACCTTTATACTGCTTGCAAGAGGCAGCTGTCAAATGTAGAACAGGGACAGTTTACTTGAAAGCAACAGGAATTCTTGCCAATGAAACAGCAAGTAATTGTGTTTAAGGAGGGCCTGAACTAAAAGGCCTAAAGGCACCTGCAGAGATAAAATAAACCAATTAACTTTATGAAGGCTTAAGGAAAATGTTTCCAGCCCTGAGTAATTTAGGTACAAGGAGAAGAAGTGAAAAGCAATTTTGAAAGGTGAGTTAGCATTTGGTTCATATCTTAATGGAAGCATCATATGAAGCTTATTGTTTACTCTCAGGAGCTTCTCCTTCTTAAATCCTGGAACAAGGTTCCAAGGAAATTTCCAAGAGGTGCACAATACTGTCTGCAGGTTTCTTTCCCTTGAGGACATCAGTGAACTAGATTTTTCTTTTTACACAATCGATGATACTTTCATGGTCTCTATTACATGTGATGTAAATTGTCTGATTTATACATTAATATCATTCTTAGAGTTTTGATTTTAAAATAGTGGCATATGGTTTGGTTGCTTTTCTGAATGTTTTAGATTAGACAATCCTTCCAGGATTCATTGAGTGTGAGAGAGCAGGGACACCTTAAAGTGTCAATTGAAGATCATTTTTACTGTAGCGACTTATGATAGATGGAGTTAACATCAAGGGCCACGAGCTTGTTTTTGTTGTGGGATAATCAACCATTCATTTTAGCTTCAAAAACCCAGAGATTGGAAGTTTTTTCCGCAGTTAAGTCAGAAACAAGTATGGTCTCTTTCCTAGAGATGAGCTTTTCCAAAGCAGTTATGTGAATGGGTTACCTTAGCAGAAAAGTTTACCTTGTGCAACTTTCAGGTCTGGGGTGTTTGGTCATAAAACTCCAATGTTATTAAAAGCTGAGAAAATCTAAGCTCACAGCTTTGTGTGTATTTATGTAAGACAACATCACGATTCCTGATAGATTGGGAAGAATCAACTAAATTAAACTAAGATTAAAAATAGAGGGGTGATTTCTTAGGTTTTGAATTCTTCTAAAGTGATGAAATTGTAGAACAGGTGAGACTTTGTTTTTGTTTGCATTTATAATCTTTCAAACCATTTCTAGATCCAGACATTTTTGTTTATTTTTGTCTTGGGTGCAAGAAACTTCAATTCTATTCTAAAACAAAATGATCTAGATTTCCTTCTGTGATCTAACTTGTTCAATAGTACCATCAACTAAGATCTTAACATGCTGATGTGTCTAGCTTTTCAATTCCATTTAAAAAAACAATCAGAGAATTTAAATACCATCATTAGCTATGGTGCGATTTGAACCCATGAACCAAGTATATTGGCCTGGGCCTCTGCTTCCTAAAGTGATAACATTACCACTATATTCCCAAACACATCCCTTTGTAACATTAAAGACCCCTATCAGCTTTGTGTTGTTTTTCCAGATGACAACTCCCGATATTTGCCACTTCTATGAATAAGTGTTACTGAGTGATGGTTGTTTGAGGCATTTTGCTGCCACCAATTGTCTTTTGTTTTGGCTTGAGCCTGCCTAGTGACTAGCAGCAGAGGATACACCATTGTAGAGTGTCTACAGAAGAAGCATAATTCTTAAATAACCAGAAGATTTATGCATTCTAGCAATAAGATAATTACGTGGACCATAGAGAGCACAAAGACACTGCTCTCTCTGAAAGCTGGGGTAAAACTCATCTTCTCTACCATAAGTAGAGTTGGGCGAACCAACGTAAATGAAAATTAACCCCTTCAGAACCATTATTTTAAATGGCAAGGTCAAGCTCTCTTCTGGAGAACAAATATTGCCATTGTGTTCAGTCTTTTCTGACTGATAGTTACAGTCTCACAGCTCTGGTATATCAATCTTTCTTGCCCATTTTCTCCTTAATCTGTTTACAGCAGACCTCAATGTACATCGGAAGACAGGTGAACTTGCATCAAAATCCCCAAAATGCTTGGGAATATTCACCCACAAGAGGGTGACCAATCAGAGAAAAGTTGAATGGATAGAATCAATGATGTCTAGTGCACAAGAAGCCTTTGAGGAAGAGATGGACACAGAAAATGTTGCAGACTCGATGTCTTTACCACCTGAAGAAGATGAATTATGGCCGAGATGGTCCAGGCACAAGTAGTGGGCTATTATCCAGTACGCACTTCCAGTAGCCAAGGCAGAGTCAGAGGAATTGGGCCTGGACCTGCCCCAGGAGCAGCTAAAGGAAAAAGAAGGGGCCTATGTCTCAGGACTTAGAGGGGGCAGGACGTAATGATTGGAACGAGGTCAGCCAGGTGGACCTCATAGAATATGGATTCCCTGATTGAGGTTGTTAACCTGGTCCAACAGATATAAACAGGAGTGTCAGGGGTCACTCTAGGAGCTAGCTGGGTCAGTGTCATGTGCTATGCACGCGTAAAGAAAGGGTGACTTGGTGACGGGATACCATGCTTTGTGGAGTTATTTCAGTGTGCATGTGGCCAGTGCCCATGGAGCATGCCCGGAGATGTTGCTGCCCAGTTTCCAACATGAAGGTCGTTCAAAGCAAGTGGCTCGCTTTGGTGTCCTTGTCAAGTTTTTCCCAACATCAAGCTTGTTTAGTGAGTTTGATAAGATAGAAAGCTGAATAATAATGAGGCAGGTTGTACCATTAGCAAGGCATTGAACCACCATTAATGTCCATCAGGTGGCGTTTCACCATTGCCTAGTGAGAATCTCCCATGCTGCTTGTGAAATCAGAAAAGATGCGGCAAGATGATCTTAATAGATGGGCATCACTGCACATGTTGCCCGATTCTGCCACACACTCCATTATTGTCCACGTCACCTATAAGATCCTGCCTTCTGTGCCAATTGTTAAATTTAAATCTGAGTTTGAAATCTGAGATGCAGTGAAAACAGTAGTAACTACGGCTTGAAATGTTCCAACTTGTGTAAATGTAATGGAAGCTGTGATCTCACAAGTCTGTGGGAGATATGTTCAGGGTGACAGTCTTTTGTATGTAGAAATGTATGTCACTTATTTGAAAAAAATATTAACTTATGCTTGTTGTCTTGTGCCAATTTAAACACTGTTGTTCCTAGGAAATTAGCACTTTACTTATGTGTTGTGGTTTTATTTTGATGGAGGGTTGATCATCATCGAAGACTTTAATAGATTTTTCTAACTCTGTTCCTGTGTGGGCCCAATATTCAAGATGCCAACTCAAATGCACTTGGTCTTAGAAATAAATGACTGCATCACCAAATAAATGAGTTAGTAAGAATGATAAAGGAGCCCCTGAAACCCCAGAAGTAACCCTTGAGAAAATTTCAAGAAGAACAATTGAAACAAAATATATTCAAACCTTTGGTTTTACAATGTGGAGACTAGAACTTATCCTTTTCCTTCCAATGTTGCTCACCATCCATTTTCTCCATAATAAATGACCAGGAGAATTGACTAAGTTCAAGATGATCAAATAATCTGACATCAGTAAAAGTGATCAAGGGATGTTGTGTTGTTATAAAAACTCAACTGGTATTGTCTAATTCGTGACTCCAGTCCATACCAAGCTGACTGACTCTTAACTGTCTCCTAAAATGGCCTAGTAAGTCATTCCATTGGATCAAAATTAAAAAAAATGCAGAAGCACTTTTAGTATTTCAAGAAGGAAGCTCACCATCCCTTCTCAAGTGCAAACAGGGAAAGGCAATAAATACAAGCCTGATCAGAAATGCCCACATCTTTAAAAAGGAGCAAATAAGTAAGTGCGAATTGTTGATGACTGTGGAAAATGTATTTGGGTTTAACTAAAGCTCTTCTATTTCTAAGAATACAGAAAGTAAGCAAAGTAAATGCTAACAAATGTTCATTTTTGTATGTTTATTTACAGTTGTCCCCCTTCCACTCCTTAATCTGTCATTTTCAAATGAGTAATCCGTTCTCAAACCTGGTGCTGTCAGTGTGAAGAAAACTATCTCAAGGTCATACCTGATCGGCACTGAGAATGCTTTTTGTTCAAGTAAATGTAATCTGGTGGTAGAAGCAGGATAAAAACGTCCCAACCCCCCCCCCCCCACCCCCCCCCCCCCCCCCAACAAACAAGAAAAGTTATCAGCTACAAAATCCTCATTCTTTATTGCTCTGTAGATCAATCAGTGAAGAAGCCTGATACATCACAGCATGATGTCAGTTCACAGTCTTTTCAGTATGATTGGACTCCTCTTCAATCACTGTGATAATGTTCAATCAGATTGATTCATGGACTCTCACTGCATCATCATTTATTGATTTAAGAGCAAGACTCTCTCTGCACAGAGTAGAGAAGACACACACACAGACAGTAAAATTAGATAACCAATATGGAGCTGGGAATGAGTGAACAATAGGCTGACAGATCCACAATGTGTTATCATTATATGTTCCAGCAGTTAAGTATAAAATGTTGCTGCCAGTGCCGTATCATTTAGAGTAGGAATGGGGAGAGAGACAGTGAGGGGGGGAGGGGTGTAGAACGTACAGCAATCTTGAGAGTAACTTTACCATAAGTATGACATTTCTAATGGCTTTTCCAGTTTTGCTAAAGGTTCCACAGCATAGGGTGGACATATGAACAGACATTGGATAGACTGGGATTTTCTTTTTATTCACTCCCGGGGTGAGGGTGTTGCTGCCTAGGCCAGCATTTATTGCCCAGAGGACAGTTAAGAGTCAACCACATTGAAGTGGGCATGGAGTCACATGTAGGCCAGGTCAGGTAAGGATGGCAATTTCCTTCCCTAATGGATATTCGTGAACCAGACGGGATTTTCCGGCAATTGACAATGGATTCACAGTCATCATTGGACTCTTAATTCCAGATTAATTTCCTGGGAATAGCAGAGACCGAGGGGGAACACGATTGCGAAGTGTAAAATTATGAGGGGCATAGATAGGTTAGACTGGAAGGAACATTTCCCTTTGATGGAGGTTTAATGACTAGGGGCAGGAGGTTGAGAGGGATGTGAGGAAAAGCATTTTCACCCAGAGGGTGGTGGGCATCTGGAACTCGCTGCCTGAAAGTGTGGTAGACACAGAAACCCTCATACCATTTAAGGAGTATTTATAAATACACTTGCAATGCCAAAGCATAGAAGGCTATGGGCCTAGCGCTGTGAAATGGGATTAGAATAGTGAGGTGCTTGTTTTTAACTAGCACAGACTCGATAGGCTGAAGAGACATTTTTGTGCTGCAGACCTCCCTGACTCCCTGGTTCTTGTTGTTAGGGTCAGAGTAACCTTATGATTCTGATTACATTATGTGGTCGGGGAGAAGCTTCTGAGATGTTTCGTTCTCTCTGTTCCACTTGCCCTGAGATTTTATCCACTAACTGAGGTAATGAAAACCGAAAATGGCTTGAACTGTTCAACCCTTAACCTTTTACCTGCTTCATCTGTGGTGATGGTAAGCTCATTGCTGGCCTCACTCTTCCCAATGCGGTTTTTGGCATACATACGGATGTTGTAGGTGGAAGAGGCGTGCAGGTCGATAATTGTGGCCTGGTTCAACTGAGGCGAGACATCTTTCGTCCTTTGTACTGCATCCCACGAATCTGTGGAACATAGCATGCATTCGGTTTTTGAAAGGTAAAGATTTTTAAAGGTTGTCGTTTTAATGATGATCTAATATTGGCTTCATTTCAGCAAATATGTGGCACATCAAAATGGATGCCACTGTTGACAAACAAATCTGTTTTCAAATTAAGGGTCGTTATCATAATCCTGACTTTAGACTTAATTATCTAGCAGATAAAGGAAGATTCAAGTCAAGTACTAGTGCCCAATTTCACACGACATTAAAGAAAATGGGCACCAAACCTAATCGACCCCAATTCCAATGGATGGCTTCAGTTAAAATCCGGGCTCATGTTTTTCAAGGCCTAGGATAGCACAGAAGAAAGCTCCCTCAACATTGCTCCTGCCAATCTGTCATACCTCAACATTGTCAGTTCTTTCATCATACCTGTACGAATGTTTCTCAGTGGCCTGAACAAAGTTGTTCACTTCTTCCTAAGTGACTGGGAATTCTGTGCTACAAACTCATGTTCACTTTTACAGAGATAATTTTCTGAAGAAGGGTCTAGGCCCGAAACGTCAGCCTTCCTGCTCCTCTGATGCTGCTTGGCCTGCTGTGTTCATCCAGCTCCACACCTTGTTATCTCAGATTCTCCAGCATCTGCAGTTCCTACTATCTCCTTCACTTTTACAAAGTAATTTTACAGAGATTACTTGTTGATAGTAAAAAGACGTTTCCCACCCATTCAGAGTTTCAGATGTGTCAAACTGGGGACCAAACCCAGCACTCTGCCCAGTATGGGGAAGCTGTTACAAGCATGGGAAATAGTCTTTCCTGAAGATTGATTGCAGTTCAACAACAAGTTAAATTTTCAGTCAACGGGGGAAGTTTAATGGTAGAAGCCCCAGCGAAGGAGATTGGTAGGGCTCACAGATTAGAATCAATGTGAGGAGCAGAACTATTAGGTGCTGCAAAACAGTATTATCGCAGAGCAAACACACTACAGGACAGAAATAAGTTTAATGGTCCTGATATTTGTCTCAGTGATGAAGGAGCAGCTTTCACCAATTAGTTTCAGGAACAGCTGATTAGAAACTTCTCACAACTTTGTCAGTAGACCTTACAACTAATCGTCTTCCTGATTTTGCCCAGGGTACTGCAGGCAATCTGTGGAAGGAGCATCAGAAAAGCTCTCACGACACACAAGCATATGAACTCGAGCAGAAGGTGGCCTTTCCGTACCTTGAGCTTGCTCGGCCATTTGATAAAATCATGGCTGGTCTGATCGTGACCACAACTCAGCTTTCCTGTCTACCCCCTGCATACTTTGGCTCCTATATCAATCTATCAAATCCAGACTGAATTTAATGACCTTGCCATCACCACAATCTAAGGGACACAATTCCACATATTCACAACCCTCTGAGAAAAAGATTCCTCCTCACCACCATCTTAAATGGTACAGCCCTTATGTTCAAACTCTATCCCACAGAGAAAACATTCTCTTATCATCCACCCTAACAGTCCCCACTGCAATATTACAAGTTTCAAAAGCTTATCTCTCATTCTTCTAGATTCCAAAGTATGCAGGCCTAATCTGTCCGATTAATCCCCTGCAGATAACCTCTTCTTTCTAGGAATTATTCAAGTTAACCTTCTCTGAATGGCTTCTAATGCAATTACGTTTTTCCTCAAATCAGGAGACAAAAACTGTACAACGCTCCGGATTTGGTTTCACCAAAACACAACCATTATATGGAGAACAAAATAAAGATAGGCAATACAGATGTGTTTTAGAAAGAAAAATAAGCGGAAAACAGAAAGTGTAAAATAATTCTTACCTTTTCTTTTTAAAAATCCACAGGTTCTTTCTGAAGGATTGATACTCCATATGTGTAAAATTAATTTTCAGGGCCAGAGATGTTATTTAGCCATCACATTTCCTGATATTTTTAGTGTTAGACTAGTGAAAATCATGCTATTTTCACACCACTACAGTGATTTCCATGCTGAAACTATCCTCAGGAACTGCAACAGTACACCCTTTTGAGAAGCAGGGTAATCTGAGGGCAAATTCTGGATTTCCCTATTTAACTGCACAAGCGTAAATAAAGGTTGGTCTCAGATTTCTCTTCCAATAAAGCTGAACCCTGTCAGCCTCAAATATTAAATCTACATCAAAATACAAGTCAACATAAAAGAAGAAACAAAATAAAAATGTTTAAAAATCCATCTGCCATTAAGTCTGTTCCAATTAACCAGCACATAGTACACCTTTGCACAAACTACAGGAAGGATGTCACTTTATAATGACTGTGTGATACCTGAATTACTAAACATTGCTTCTGAAGGCAGCTAACACACAACTTCTGTTACATTAGCCCTTGGGTTTTACAATATTCATAAGGTTAATGTAACTGACACCAAGTATTTACAGCCTCAGGGCATTAACAGCCTAAAAAAGCCCACTGAATAATCAATGACACCTTGTACTTTCAGGTGGAACATTATACAAATACGAGCAATAAAGTTATAGGTTTAAAAGAATGAAATGAGATCACTATTATCACAAACAGTGAGGAGCTGGAACAACACAGCAAGTCATGCAGCATCAGAGGAATAGGAAAGTTAACGTTTCAGGTCGGGACCCTTCAGCAGTTTGTCTTCCTTCTCACCTATTCGCCCCACCCTTCCCATTGACCAATCTCCACAACCCCTTACCTGCATCCACCTATCACCACCCCACCTGCCTTTGCCCAGCTCCACCCATGCCCTCTATTTATTTCTGAGCTCCCTTTCCCCTCCCCACTCCTGATGAAGGGTCCCAACCAGAAACGTCAGCTTTCCTGTCCCTCTGATGCTGCCTGACCTGCTGTGTTCCTCCAGCTCCACACTGTATTGACTCTGACTCCAGCATCTGCAGTTCTTGCTATCCATTATTATGACATGTTTGCCTCCTTCAGATCATTAAAAAAAGATCATTTTGAAGTGCTGTGTTGAGAACTGGAAAGATCAGTTAGTCAGTAAAGGAAATCAAAGGTTGTAGGGAGAAAGCAGCAAAGTGGAGCTGAGGGTTACCAGATCAGCCATGACCTCATTGAATGGCACAGCAGAATCGATGGGCTGAATGGTCTATTTTGCTCTGATGTCTTATAGTCTTATGTTTTTCTTCAACTTGCATTGAAAATCTGCATTATTGCTAATTCACTGAATCCATTTCCTCTGTTTAAAAGCCAGGTTGGCGGTCAGAATATAGTTCTCAGTGCTAAAGGGATCAAAGGATACGGGGAGAAAGCAGGAACAGAGGAATGAGGTGAATGATCAGCCATGACCACATTGAATACTGGAACTGGCTTAAATGGGCTGAACAGCCTGCTCCTGTTCCTTTTACCTATGTTTCTATGAACAATCTGAAGCAATCCTATCCCCAATGGATTTGATTTGTTGCACATCCAATTTCTTTGCCAGATGCTGGCGATGAGGAGAGTAAAAGTGGACATGATGCCACGCTACATCATTAAATATTAAAATTAACAATGCTACTTTCGAATATAGGAAGAAAATCTCTGACAACAGGCAAATCCATCAGCTATGAGGTACGGCTACATGGTTGATGGAAAGGCTTTTGTCAAATTGTCTGCCTCTAGTTAAGGATTTTTGTAGGCAGTGTGAACTTGCTTAATTTCAGTTGCTGGTAAACCCTTGTGGGACATGTTCAGTACATTCTGTTACTGCACAATGTTTGATGCAGTGCGCCAGGATGTGAAGGTGGAAGTGAAATAACAGTCTGGTCTTTGCAGCTAAAACAACAGAGTGTTAGCAACGCTCACCATTATTAATGTGCAAGTCGATGGATACAAAAGATGCGCAGTGAGTCATCAATTTCAGAATTTTCTATTAGTGGGAACAATGAAAAACTCTTTTGTAAACTATATCCGGTAGGGAGTTAAATCAGTTAATATAGCTCACCCCCCTCAAGTGTTCCCACCTTCATGTGAGTTCCAACTTTAACCCATCGATTTGAACAGGTGACAGAGATGCCATTAGATGGCAAAAGGTCTTTCTTCAAATAGATTTCTGATGATATCATCAAGACAGGGCTGCAATTTTAACTCAAGGCCTGTGTGGAGCAGTCATTAATCTGGTGGCAAATGCAGGGAGGGCAGAAAGAGAGAGAGAGACAGAGACCCAGAAAGTTGAATTTGCTCCATTTCTGTTTCCTTGGTCCTTGCTCTTTCAATCACTACAGAAAAAAAACTGGCTGGCCCTGTCCTTCCCTTCATCCAAATCCTGCACCTCATGCTCTTCTCACTTCCAACTCCCCCACTCCCAACTACAAACGCCAGAACTCCAAAGCCAAAGGCATGTGGATCATTGGTCCTTCTCTGGATATCAGATCCAGGCCTTCTGCCCTGTGAACCTCCGCTCTCACCTGTTACCAGAAAGCATCTCCCACTGGATATGGCTGAGAGGTTGGATAGGCCTCACAGATGGGGCTGAGAGCTAAAAACAGTCCTGAGGCCTAATGGTGCAGGGTGTCACCACCCCTCACCCTCCAGCATTTCACCGTGGGGTTGATAATTAGTCTTCTGGTTTCTGGAACTCACCTGACTTGTTCTTGCACTCAATGTCAAAGCCAGTGATGGGACTGTTCCCATCAAAACCCATGCTCCACCTCAAAGCGATGCTCCGTGCTCTCACCTCACGGATCTCAATTTCAGGAGGATCTGGGGGTTCTGCAATAAGAAAAAAAACTCAGAATTAAAGAGTCAAGTTCCCTGACATTAAATGTTTCATGGCAAATTATTGACAACAGGCTGTGTCTAAATAGCCATCTCCATGAAAGGTCCTCAAATCTTTATCAGAAATGAACAAATAACATTTAGCAAAAGGTACGTATCTCAACTGCAAGTAAATGAGAATAATGTCTTCTAACATGAGAATTGAGGAGATCAAAGCATTTGTCATTATCATCCAACACAATCTTCATTCACTTGTCACCCATTGTGTCCTTCTTCCAGTCCAACATGAGACGGACCGTTTGCAATATCTTCATCCAATCTGACCCTGAGATGAATTTCTAACCTCACATCCCTGCCATGACAAAGACTGTCGACTTCAAACTCTGTGACAACATGGGTCTTCTGCCGTACTGAACTCATCTGTTACTGAAACCCTCTCATCCATACCTTCAAACGTCTAGACTCAACTATTCCAAAGCTGTCCCACTCCCCCATTTCAGGACTTAACATTTCTGTTACCCCCCAGATCTGATCTGGTACCAAATACACATTTAACCATCACCTTTGGCCTTGCTGATCTACACCCCCATGGCCTTACCCTTCCCCATCTCTGTAATCGCTACTACTTGCACAAACATACCAATATGATGCATTTGTTTTTATGAATTCACTTGTGGGAGGTGCGCGTTATCGGCTAGGCCAGCATTTATTCCCCATCCCTAGACGTCACTGAGAAGGTGGTAGTGAGCTGCCTTCTTGAACTGCTGCAGTCCATGCACTGCAAGTGGACCTGAAATACCCTCATAGAGGGATTTTCAGAGGTTCATCTCTGGCCTTTTCTGTGACCCCTACTTCTCTCTGCCACAGTCTTCAGTTGTTCAGGAGCTGTGTTTAGGAATTCATTCCCCAGATCTCACAGTGACTGTAACGAGGTCATAGAATATGAGTTCCCTGGTTGGGGCAGTTAATGTGGTCCAATCAGGGAGCCCTGGCTAAAAAACAAAAAGCGCAAGTGTCAGAGACACTGACACTATGGTACCTGACTCTGAATAAGGCAGTACTATAGTCAAGGGCTGTTCACTTATAAATAAAGGGTGACTTGGTATCAGGATAGCAGTCTCTGTGGAGTTATTTCAACCATCTCTGTCTCTCTTGCTCCCTCATCAATGAGGGTTTCAGTCCCTTATTCTAATATCTTCTTCATTACAGAGCATCAATTTTCAATTGATTACACAGTTTGAGGCATTTTATACAATTGAAGGATGGTTACAGCACACAGGAAGCCATTCAGCCTGTTGTGTCCATGTCCATTCTCTGCTAGAACAGCCAGGTCTTCCACTCCCTCACCCTGTCGTGCTTTTGTCTTTAATCTTATAACTTTTCAAAAGCTATGATTGAATCTGCCTCAATCACGTTCTCAGTCAGTCCATTCTAGTCCTAACCGCTTATACATTAAAGGAAATTTGTGACATTTGCAGCCAATTTAAGATTATCAGTTGGGCTCCTAACGTGGCTCAAATTGTGAGAGGCACATCCATATTTATAGACAATGAGAACTAGAAACGGAAGATTTGAATATCACCAGATTCAAGAGAATTTAGTGGTTTCTTGCAACTGCAAGGTTAAAAAGATTTGGGTATTGTCTGCTGTTTAAGTCATTTTAACTTCAATGGTAGGAGAGCTTCTAGAAACAATTTTTTGTTCTAGCATTAGTGTTCAACAAGGTGTGTTGATTGGGAATAGTCAACATGGATTTCTAAAGGAAGAAGTGTGTTTGCTTAACTGAAAGTCAAAGAGGGCTCAGCACAGAAAAATGCCTTTTGGCCCATCGAGTCTGTGCCAGTCAAAATAATCCACATATTCTAATCTCATTTTCCTGCACTTGGTCCATAGCCTTGTATGCCTCAGCATTGCAAGCGTACATTTAAATACTTCTTAAATGCTATGAGAATTTCTGCCTCCATCACCCTTACAGGCAGTGAGTTATAGATTCACGCCATCTTCTAGGTGAAAAAGATTTCCTTCACGTTCCTCTAAATCTCCAGTCCCTTAAGCTTAAAGCTATGCCCCCTGGTCATTGATCCCTCCACCAAATGGGCAAGTTCCTTTCTGTCTACCCTTGTTAGAATTTTTAAAGAAGTTACAGAAAGGCTAACACTGAATCTAATGCTGTTGATGATATATACATGGATTTCTAGGGACGTCTGATAAATACAACACATTTGTGAAGAAAGTTGCAGGTTGTGATGTACAAGGGTCAGTTGCAATGTGAACACAAAATTGGTTGAATGATAGGAAATACAGAGTAATGATCAATGGCTATTTTTGGGACTGGAGGAAGATTTGCAGTGGGATTTCCCCAAGAGTTGGCATTGGGATCCTTGCTTTTCTTGATATATATTTATGACCTGGATCTTGGTATGCAGGGAACAATTCCTGCACAAGGAAATTTGGAAGAACTGGAAAACGTGAGGACAGTGTGGCATTCCAAAAGGACTTTTGGCAACTTTGTGGAGTGGGTGGATAGAAGTATGAATTGATGCACTGTGGTCAGAAGAACATTGAAAGACAATATAAAATAGGTGGAAAAATTCTAAAGGGGCTGCAAGAGCAGATGGCTCTGGGTGTATCTCAGAACAGCTTGTTGAAGATGGCAGGACAGATCGAAAGAGCAGATAACAAAACATACAATATCTTAAAGTATACATGCGTTATTAATAGGGGCACAGAGTACAACAGCAAGGAGGTAAAGCTGAACTTGTACAATACACTTGTTAGATCTCAGCTGAAGTATTGTGTACAGTTATGGGTGCCACAGTATAGGAAAGATGTGAATGCATTGGAGAGAGTGCAGAAGCAATTTACAAGAATGGTTCTGGGAGTGAGAAACTTCAGTTAAGAAGATAGATTGAAGAAATTGGGACTGTTCTCCTTGGAGAGAAAGAAGACTGACAGGAGCTTTAACAGGGGTTTCAAAATCATGAGCAAGATGGATAGAGTAGATAGGGAGAAGCTGTTCCCACTCGTAAAAGGAGCAAGAATGAGAAGTTATAGACAGAAAGTAATATGCAAATGAAGCAAAGATGATGTAAGAAAAAAAGATCAGTGAGTAGTTAGGGTATGCACTGCCTGGAAATATTGTGGCGGCAGATTCAATTCAGGCATTCAAGAGGATGATTATTTGGATAGAAATATTATGCAAGAGTATGGGGAAAAATCAGGAGATTGGCACAAGGTAATGGCGCTCATTTGAAAAGTTGGTGCAGGCATGATGGGTGAAATGGCCCCTTTCTGCTCCATAACAATTCTGCGATTCTGTCTAGAAAAGTCAACTGACTGTGTGGAGAATACAAGAAGGATTAGAGATCACTGTTACGCCCTTGATTATGAAACAAATAGAGTGGGTTTTAGAAAGGGCCTTGTGCTGATGATTGGCTAACCACAGTCTGGTCTCTGTTTTGCCACAGACTTGCAAGTTGCAAAAGGACCTCTAAGCTAAAAACATTATAATTGGTCTGCCCTGAAAAGTGGGAGTTGGAAGAAAGTTGGCAGTTATGCAGAGGCTTGCAAGGAAGCAGTGCTATTTTTTTCACTCTCTCTCTTTTTCACAATCACTCACCCTAAGTGGCAGCTAAGTCTCAAAGATAACCAGTTGAAGAGATATCTTGATGAAATATTATCAGGAAAATGGAGAAAGTTCCAGAAATCAGTGCCTCTCACCTCTGCATGAACTCGAAATTTTGAGCTGTTAGGATGATCCAAGGACCTGAGTCTAACAGATCTTCCAATAAACTGAGATTCTTCTATCACTCCCCAATTGACAGTAATCAGATCTCATTGACAGGGGACTGTGAGTAGTGAATGTATTTTATATGAGAATATGAACAGGGAACAAGAGTAGGCCATTTGGTGCTTCGAGCTTGCTTCCACCGCTCAATAAGATCATAGATCATAGAATCCCTACAGTGCGGAAACAAGCTATTCGGCCCAACAAGTCCACACCGGCCCTCCGAAGAGCATCCCACCCAGACCCATTCCCATGTCTAACCCACCTAACCTAAACATTCCTGAGCACTACCGGAGATTTAGCACAGTCAATCCACCTAACCTGCTCATCTTTGGACTGTGGGAGGAAACCGGAGCACCCGGAGGAAACCCACACAGACACGGGGAGAATGTGCAAACTCCACAAAGACAGTCGTCTGAGGGTGGAATCGAACGCGGGTCTGAGGCAGCAGTGCTAACCACTAAGCCACCGTGCCACCCCAAATGTCTGATCTGATCGAATAGGCTCCAAGACGATGATGGTGTAGCACTGCAGTGTTCAAGTTGCTGAGCCCGGGGATCATCTGCTTCTGTCTACTTCTCTATTTTTTTCTCTTTTTCATTTCTTTCTTTTGCTCCTTTCTTCTTTTCTTTTTTGCATTCTGCGGCATCTTTGGTGGCACACCGGCGTGAGTGAGACCAGAATGGCGGCAACTAGTTGGGGGGTTGGCATGTACCAGGATTGGCAGCGTTAGCGACGGATTTGAGGAGCGTCTTCTGAGATGTCTGTGGTGGCAGCAGGAGCGAGTTCAGAGGGCCTACGGCAGCAGGAGCGAGTTCAGAGGGCCTACGGCAGCGGGAGCGAGTTCAGAGGGCCTACGGCAGCGGGAGCGAGTTCAGAGGGCCTACGGCAGCAGGATTGAGTTCAGAGGGCCTACGGCCGGCAGTGGGAGTGAGTTCAGAGGGCCTACGGGAGCAGTGGGAGCGAGTTCAGAGGGCCTACGGCCGGCAGTGGGAGTGAGTTCAGAGGGCCTACGGGAGCAGTGGGAGTGAGTTCAGAGGGCCTACGGCCGGCAGTGGGAGTGAGTTCAGAGGGCCTACAGCCGGTAGTGGGAGCGTGGCTCTGCCACAGCACTGAGGCTCAAGGCTTTGGGGAAGGAGGCCTATTTACCTTATGGAGATGAGGCTGTCTCATGGAGATATGACTTCTAGATCCGTACATTCCCACTTTCTTCTTGGCTCCATTTTTGATTGGTATTTCTGTGTTTCTTTCATCCTGGTTTTTGTATCTTAGTGATTGTTTTGGTTGTCATATCAAAGACAATTGTTCTTTTGTTGTTAAATTTGAGTTTTCATATCTAAGAAGGTGCTGGTGAATTACGACTTTGTACACTTTTCACTGGAGTCCTGTACTTCTGTATTGAGTACACATGGGAATAAAACCTAATGCTAAAAGTTTAGCCTCAAATCTACCTTCCTGCATATCCCCAATAACCTTCCATCTTTTTGGTAATCAAGAATCTATCTGGTATAATTGCACAGAGGCTGATATCCCATCACCAAGCCACCTTTTATTTACATGTGCACAGTATATGGGTTCTGATCAACCAGCTCAGAGCTAGTCCCTACAATGAGGATACTCTCTGAATCTCCTGTTTATATCTGTCAGCCAGGACTCCCTGATTAGCCCAGGTTAACAATCTGAATCAGGGATCTCATCCTCATTGAGATTCACCTGGCCATCATTTCAATCTCTACACCATCCATCTCTGCTTTACAAATATTTTTTAAGATTTGGCATCCATTGCTTTTTGTCTTCTGCATTTGTACACTTTACCTTACTGAGGTATTGTTCCTTTCTAACTTTTTTTCTCCCACACATAATCCCACTTCAGAGCTCAGTCATAAATGTGTGTGTGTTCGGTAGAAATGGGGATATAGTCTAATTCCACATAGTAACTTAGTTGTCAACAAATTTTGCCACTTATTGTGAAAATACATGTTGCCTTCAATAAAACAGATTATTTTTGAGATTATTGGAGAAGTCTGGTGGAAATCTCTTTTGACTTAGATGACAGCAATAAAACTAAAAAAAAAATGATAATCTTGGGTATTAAACAAGATAGTTACATTTTTAGTTCCTGGACTATGTGGCTTGATTTGCTGTATGCTGCTCCTGTCAAAGTTGTAATAACATACCCTTGCTAAAAGCTATTTTATTAATATGCAGGGCCCTCTCCTCTGCATGCAAAAGGAATGAGTCCAGGCTTTGTGCCTTTCCAATTAAAAACAACTTAGTTGCCTGGTGCATTCTCCATATGAGGCACCTTTTTATTGCAAACAGCCCATAAACAATCAGAGTTAACTTGCTGACTATCAGCACCACTCTCTCATGCAATATAAATTGCTGCTCCTTTTGAAGCTTGTCTGTCTTGAGCGGACGACAAAAAGCTTCAACAACATTTCCATTTTTCTCATCAATATTAAAGATTATAGCAGGTCTTCTGACTATCACTACCCTCACTTCCCTTAGCAAATTGGGATGCAAGCCAACTGGACCAGGTTACTTATTCATGACAAGCACATACAGCCTTTTCTGCCTATTTTTTCTCGTTCCATCCATTATCTCTATCATCTTTACTTCTACTATTTTTACTTCTATTTCCCAGCTTCCTACATCTTAGCAAATGCCAATGCGACATACTCATTCAGTATTCTTGGCTTGTTCTGCAGTTTCGAGCATATATCAACTTCCGCCCTACTAATAAGCCCTGTCATGTGCATGGTAATAGTTTAATAATTATTGAACAGGACTCGGTAAACTCTGTGGGATTAGTTTATTTAAACCAGCAAAATACTTTACAAGTTATGGAGCAGATATTGCAACAAACTAGCTGATCCTTGCATGTGCAGCTTTCAGGCTGACTACAGACTAACTTCCAGGCACAGTCACAACATTGTATACATACAGCATATGGAATTATTAAAGGCAATTTCTCTTAAAGGAAAGGTCCATATACAACAAGTCCCATTCCATTCAGTACTAAACTGAGAAATATGCTTCATAAACCTGTCAGCATCTGCCATCTTCATGAAAGAGGGTCCTTAAAATCTCCTACTTTAATCAAGCAATTAATGACTGAAATAATTCCACAGAGGCTGGTAACCTATCACCAAGTCACCCTTTATTTACACATAAAGAGTTGTTGACTCCAGCACCACCTTTTCAGAGTCAGCTCTCAGCACTAGAACCTCTAACACTCCTCTTTTTATCTGTCGGGTGGGGTTCCTTGATTGGACCATGTTAACAGCCCCAATCAGGGAACTCATGTTCAATGAGGCCCAGTTAGCTGACCTCATTACAGTGATCATCCCAATATCTCCATACTCAACACAGTGTTGATTTTCTTTGTCTGATTAGGCTCTTATGAAATGTGTTAGCTACATAAAAGGTGTTACACCAATGATGGATGGGGGTCAGAACTCTCACTACACCATTAGGCTAGGAATGGTATGTGGCAGAACACAAGCATCTGATTTCCAAAATCAGCTGTAGATTGCAGTGAATAGTAGCAGGCAATGTCACATTTCAATTTACCTTGCACCGTGAGCTGAATCAACCCTCGGTCCTCTCCGTATGAATTAATAGCATGGCAGGAGAAAAACCCAGAATCTCCCCGGACTGTTGGTGTAATCTGAAGAGTAAACAGACAGGTCAAACAGCAGAGAGAAAATGATCTAGAATAATTCCACTGCTGGAAATATGAAATAAAAAAAATAGACAACGGGTTGGCTAGCATCTGGAAAGAGACAAGCCAGGCTAATGCTTTTCATCAGTATCTTCACATTCTTCACACCTTCATGACTTCCTCAATGGAACTGTAATAATTTGCAGTGGGTTCATGGTGTCAGTACCAACTCTTGGCAAGATTAATCCAAAACTAATCTCACGGTCCCACTCTCCTCCATAAACTGGTGTGCTCCACTGCCTCAGATCTTCGTTCAATTTTCCCTTAAAAGATTCTCTGTGATTGAAAAAAAAATTCATGCTTCAATGATCCTCTGCAAAAAGAAATTCTCCTGTCCCCTTTCTCTTCACTACTCCCAGTGACAGACCTAAATTGTCGATCCCCTTGCTGTTGACCTTGTTCACTCCAGCAATGTCGTCAGAACAAGACTCAATTAAATCTCTCCATAGCTTTCCCTGCTCAAATGGAAACAGTCCCAGCAGCCCAGGTTCTTCCTCAAACTAGAAGGACCTGAATTAAATTCTTGGCCTTTGGATATTGTGGTGAGAATTCATTTTGCTGCCTTGAATATTTCTGGCAGCATTTCGCTAACTAATTCTGTTAACCCCTGTGGGTTTGATCCTCAGCCATTTTTGAAGGGCTGTGGCTGTTTGTGTCTCTCTCACTGGCAACTCAATTCACACCAATTCACATCTAGAGGCACTCTTCTCTACAGTGCAAATAATTGTTCCTGATATTGTGCTTGCATTAACGATTTTTTTTCTCTGATAGAAAAGGCAATTCATTGTATCTACAAAACAGTACCCATACAATCATTGTGTATTCATGTGCGGATGTTCTGGGCTTTCCCTGTAGAACAAAGGTCACATGGTGAATGCATCACTTGTAACAACGCATCACTTGTTTATATCGATGAGTTAGCGCTGTCAGTTCTCCAGTATTGTGCAAGATCCCTCCTGAATTAGCTGTGAATCCCAGCCATAACTCAGGAGAATTTTGTCTTTTATATTTCTTACCCAAGTATTACCCACCCACCCTGTTCCCTCCTATCAGCAGCTCTGGTCACAGTGAAGTCACCTGCTTTACAGCATTGATAGAATCCCTGCAGTGTGGAAGCAGGCCATTCAGCCCATCAAGTCCACACCAATCCTCCGAACAGCAGGAGAATGTGCAAACTTCACACAGATAGTCGCCTGAGAGTGGAATCAAACCCATGTCCCTGGTGCTGTGAGGCAGCAGTGCTAACCACTGAGCCACCCTATGCCATGCCATATTACCCCCACATTCTTCCCTACTGCTGAACAAAGACAGCACCCCCGCAACCTACCCGGGTCTGCGCTGCTGGGCCTATCCTGGTCCGTGCTGCCAGGCCTATCCTGGTCCATGCTGCCAGGCCTATCCTGGTCCACGCTGCCGGGCATATCCTGGTCCGTGCTGCCGGGCCTATCCTGGTCCGCGCTGATGGGCCTATCCTGGTCCGCGCTGCCGGGCCTATCCTGGTCCGCGCTGCCAGGCCTATCCTGGTCCGCGCTCCCGGGCCTATCCTGGTCCGCGCTGCCGGGCCTATCCTGGTCCATACCGCAGGGCCTATCCTGGTCCATGCTGCCGGGCCTACCCGGGTCCACACTGCCAGGCCTACCTGGGTCTGTGCTGCTGGGCCTATCCGTCTCCGCAACTGAGTTCTTCACCAAGAGGTAAATAAAATAAAATGAAGGAGAAAACAAAACAAGATGAGAGGAGAAAAGAAATAAAACAAAGAGAAAAGTGGACAGAGTGGACGAGCCCTGGGCTCAGAGCCCTGCTCCACGGCTATCTTATCAAGAGCTTCTTGGGATTAAGCTGGTAGAAATGACGTGGAGAAAAAAAGGTATCTTAAAATGAAAGCAAACAACTGTGGATGTTGGAAATCCGAACTGAAAACTGCAAGGTCTTGAAAAACTCAGCATCTGACTGTAAAAGAAGTTCTAAAGGAGAGTCATATTGGAATCAAAACATTAACTCTGCTTTCTCTTGTTAAGTTGCTATCAGACATGCTGAGCTGCTCCAGCATTTTGTTTTTCATTGTGTAGGACACATTATTGTACATGCTCGGTACAGGCCTGACTCACACTGAATAAAACTGCAAAGCTATTCGGAACCAGGTCAAAGACACATCAGACACTCCTGAAAACACAATTTTGTTAGTGCCCCATGTGTCACACTGTTGGTTGCTGTGCAGACATTAGTTAGCGCGCTAAAAGGAGCAGCCATGGTGCAGAAGTCTCTCTCTCTCACCATAAAGAGTTGTACGAAAGCCTGCACTTCTATCCTAAGCAATAGCCTGAATTCACCAAATCCTTGTTTGAGAGGTAAGTATGCATATTAATACATAATGATGTGTTTTGCTTAAAAACACACACACGCAGACACACACAACCCAAGGCTGCTGGAAGCAACATCAAGCCAGTCTGCTAAACACCGCTTCAGAAAGGTTGACACTGATGGTGAGAGACAACCCAGATTACATAGACATCTAATTAAGAATAACATCCATTACCGTTTCTACACTGAGACATGGAGTGAATTTATGTACTGCTGTTTGGCACTAAAACCAAATTGTCAACTCATTGAATAGAAAACAGGGTTTTTCTGAAGAAGGGTCTAGGCCCGAAACGTCAGCCTTCTTGCTCCTCTGATGCTGCTTGGCCTGCTGTGTTCATCCAGCTCTGCACCTTGTTATCTTACATTTTAAGCGTTAGCTCTCCTAGTAATGGGAATTGTGTGACAGGCCAGAAAATTCAGATTTGAACCCTTAGTCTACACGTCCATCTGAACGAATCAGACTAGCCTCCGAAGTCCCTCATAATTCACCCCTTTTTGGGGTTAGCCTTTCAGCCCTTCAAGCCAGCTCTGTTCTGCCACTAGCTGATATCTGATCTGCACCTTACTTCCATTTGTTCTTCTCTGCTCTTTTTTCCCTCAATACACTCACCCAAACAAAAGCCATGTTTTGATATGCTCATGGGATTTGGGGATCCCTGGTCAGTATTTATTGTCCATTTCTGTCAGAATCAATCTGAAAATTCTCAGGCTATTGTGGGGAGCCAAAAATTGCGTAGCCCAAGAGTTAGACATTAGAATTTCAGATTGCTATCTGGCCTAGCTCTGATTTTAGGATTATGTCCCTTTATTTTCAACCCCCTCCCTCACCAAAGAAATAGTTTCTCCCGTCTACTCCTTTTAACAGGGCAAACTGATCATTCCCACTTCCAATCTTCTACATTTTTTTTGGGCCTCCAAGCTCATAAACTGTCTTCCACAGTAACACTTAATAAAAATTGTGAAGGAATGCTTCTGGGTTTTATGGACCTGCACTGTTCGAAAAAAGAAGTTCTATTATTCTTCCTGTAGAAGACAAAAATAATCATACTGCCTGAATCCCAAATATCATTAAGCCTTTTTTTAATCGTGTAGTAAATCCATAAAGGGTTAATCATTTAAACTGAGAGATTTAATTGCATTGCCAGAGAAATTGATTTTCTTTCCTTGTCTCCTTGCTGTGATTGGGAGAAAATTGTCCAAGGCTTCAAAATGAAGGTCTGAGGCACTTTCAGAATCAGTGATGACAGGGGTCAGGACAGGAGGTTGTTATAGTAACCATGTCAAAAAGATTCTACTCGCTGCTGGTATGTTTGAAGTCGGAAAGGAAGATTAAAGGAACTCGAGCCTGCCATAGCACTAAATCATCGAAGACCCAAAGAGCAGGGAAAGAGGAAACAAAGAAAGAAATTGATTGAAAGATCAAAGCAGTGAATTGATTATTTTTGGATTAATCAATAGGTTAACATTAAAATGGATTCCTTGTGCATCCAGTGATTTTCTTTCGTCTTACAATTGTGTACGCTCTAACCTCTCAGGGACAATGCCTTTGAGAATGGTCTCTGAAGTGCTTTTCCGATGCAGCCATTATGCGAACAGGTGCAATACTTTGATTCCATGTTTGGCCATTGAGAGTTGGCAGGCTTTACAAAATCCACTAAAGTGCATTTTTATTCCCTTCCTCCAGCCTTCTCTTTTGATGAGCCTGAGGGATGCTGGAAACATGGCTCCATTGTGCCAGGGAGAGAGTGGTAACATAAATGATTGTTTTGGCAATAGGCAACTGGGCTTTGGGAACCCTTGGGGTATCAGTGGACAATCACCATTGCTCAACTTATACAGCCAAAGTCATAAGATAGAGAGTATTTGATTCAGCACAAACTAGCCAGAGGGACAAGCCTGTCAAAATAACTGTAATATTTGGAAGTAAACATGTTTGTCATATCGGAGCACTGATTGGAAATATACAAGTCAAGGTGAACGATCTGCAAATTTTACTTGTTTTTCTCATTCTACATGTCTTTGATCTTCTAGTCAGCATACTTCTGCTGTGCCATGAGAAATGGAATATACGAGCAATCAGAATTTAAATGCTAGTCAGGAGATAATGATATGTTTTCAAAATACTGGCCTTCAGTGGACAGTGAGTAGTGCCTCAGAGTGTGGGTGTGATGTGCTTCAATGAAAAGCTGACAGACTGTTGCAAAGAGCTCAACTTCTGGCAAGCGCTACAAATAGATGGTGCGGTACACTGCTTTGCAGAATGAAAAGGTAGCGATGTCCATCACTGGAGGGATTTCAGTTCTGTGGAAAGACTGGGGAAGATGAGATTATCAGCCTTCTCTGCCGTAAAGCGAAAGCAAGACCTGCAAGAAACTGTGTCTGCTGGCAAGTGTGTTGGTAGCTGAAGGTTATGAAGTTCAAATAACTGGCTAAAGGAACTACGAGGGGAAAGGATGGAGAACAATTAACAGAAATAATTAACGAGATGTTTATGTCGCTTGCATTACACTTCGTCTCTGGTCAAATTTAGCAGTGAAATGCAATGTATTACTTCAGTTTCACTGTTGTTGTTCTCGAGCTGAAAT